CCAAGCTAGGCTATTGAAATAAAGGGTATTACATCATTGACCAACCATGTCTACTTAAATAAAATGTATTTGTTTGCAAAAAAAAAAAATAAAAAATTAAACCTTTCACACAACGATCAGTGTGTATGCCATTTTCCATTTCAGTCTGAGCATATATTTCAGATGTGGAAAAAGCTAGCATGTTGAAATAATTTGAGGCATGGGTATAGTCTGATCAGTCTTGGTAATCCAGAAGGGAGGGGTGCCCAGTGTATTATTACATTTCATATATTGTTTTTCAAGAGATGGATGCAATCAGTCATCTTCTCGCATATGTTTTGAAAAAAAAAACTTGTCTTGCTGGCAAGTAAACTGTTATTTAAGTACACAATCCACTGTACTACTGAAACAGTTTTGCCAAACTTGTCCAAGTATTCTCACATGCTTAAAGATGGTATAAATATCATTTATAGCAAGCCGTTTACTTCAGACTATATGGAATGCCTTCCTGCTCCCCTCATCTAAGTGTCCCAGTTTACATTATGGCCTTTATTGCTTCTGTTTGATGGAGTGATCAGTAAAAATTTAATGACACTATAAAATAATAAAAATGTCATTAATTTACCACGCATCTTGGATGCAGTGGTTGTAAAGTTACATTAATAAACAGAATATTTTTTACAACAAAAAGCATTGTTACGTGGGAATGTATAAATAACACACATAAATTTAAGAGCAATGTTACTGTTAGCACACACATTATTATGGAATAGCCAATAAGTGTATAAAACATAGTATATAAAATTTTATGAAAATATACTGTGCACATCAAAAATTCAGCTTTTATCTAAGTGCAGAGAAAAGCCATTATTGCGTGCTTACTGTTTCATTGCTGTTCTTCCACAAGATCACAATTTTATATTTGTTTCTAGCCCTTTGAAGTTGGCAGTGTTTTTAGAGGAAAGGCCTACTTATTCCTTTCTCCCTCTCCATGGTTGACTAAACCATTCTGTTACTTCCTTTGCATCAGGGAAGAATTGATAATCCCTTCCACAGAAGTGAGGGATAAGTTGCTAATTTAATGCAAAGTTAAAAATAATTCCTAAAAGGTTGAATGGCTTGCTTGGTGAGTCTGGAAATAAGGGATAATAATCTAACAGTCTATCTGTCATCACTGGGGCTGCTCCATCATTGACTGCAATAATATGTGAATATGATGGATGCCACAGGCTTGTGGCTCATAACATTTAACATTTATCAGCTCTCAGTAAAGGGGGCTTTATAATTTAAATATCATTATTTAATATGGAACATCTACCTCATACATCATAATTTCAAAGCACTTAGAGAACCAACCATCATACAACACAGTAGAGCAGACTTTAATTTTTTCAATACGTCTATGTTTTCTGCATGTTTGTGACTGACAATGCATAAATAAGTGCCTAATCATGCCACTGAATGGAAAATGAAGATCTGGCTGTTAACAAGAATAATTTTTTTTCTTCATCTAATTTTAAAGTAGTGATTATTTTTACTGCATTTTTCACATACTCAGAATCAAAATCTTGATTCTGGGGTTGAAAGAACTTTCACCTTTGAAATAATTTCTGAATTTTGAAAATTCTTAGGCCCATTGCAGGGCTACTCTTAGCAGCAGAGATTTTCAAGATCAACTCCTAGGTCCTTTATTGAAATGGTACAATTGAAAGAGAACAGTTTAATATCAGTACATCACATATGATAAACACTGTGTTGTCCACTAGTTTAGATCTCCAGAATTATCATCTTGAAGAGAATGCAAAACCCGTGCACCATCTTTGGAAGGCTTACATAACTAATACATAAAAAATTAGCATTGTGTAGCTAAAGAACCATATATAACCATTAGTAATCATTAAGAACTATTATAATATACAAGAACCATTAATATATAAATGTATGTCATGCTTCTTAGCTACAGTGTTAATTTTTTATGTATTAACATTAATGTGCATGTTTTATCTGTACGCATGTATATGTATGCTCACAAATATAAACACTCACCAAACCTATGTGTGTGCGCGCGCGTGTGTGCGCGTTTTATATAAACACACACACGCATGTAAACACACACGCAGTGGTTGTTTATATTTCTGGACGTATGTATATATATGTACTGATAAAATGTTCACATGAATGCTAAGAGCATGCTTGTGTACATCCACCTAGGCACTTTTAACCATATTTTGTGTGCGCTGGTCTACAAAGGATATACACATAGAATTGATCTTCCATTCAGTGCTTGTTTACAGTAGGAAAAGGTATATATTTAAACCTAACACATCTTAAAATTACAGTGTAGAGAGGGCAAAAAGCTTGGTTAGCTTATTTGCCATTAGCTTGCTGAGTCTGATCGGGGTTAAACCTCAGAAATGTAAATCTGATGTCTAAGTTGGCAGTGCCTCTTTGATATTAATTTCATACTAATTTGTTAAATCTTTTTGAATTTTATGGATTTTTTTAGTTGAAAAATATCTTATTCTTATAGAAGCATTTTCTCCTATGTTTTCCATGAGCCTTTCATAAAAGTTTTACTAATTCTTTCTGTAAATATTTATATTTTACAACCATCAATGTGAGAATATTTTTCAGTGGAGGGGAAAAAAAGACTTAAAAGCTGTTTCAAAAAAAATATTGAAATAGCTATGATACATATTCCAGGGAATTAAAAGATGGAGATTATTATTCAGTCATAAGTGCTTGTTACTTGTTTTAGAAGATAAGGTATTATTATTGTGTAAGTGTTCTCAGTGTAGTATTTCTGAACCTTATCATGTAATTTTCCCTTTTCTCTTTCCATGTCAAAATATTGATATTCTTTCAGAAACTTTTTTTTTTTAACAGAGAATATTTTCTGGCAAAATCAAAGAGAATGAATGACTAGAAAGATACTTCAAATGTGCATATTGATACATAGTAACTTCTGTTGATTTTTATAGTAGAAAGGTATTTCTCTTACTTCTAAAATACACATAAGGGCTGTTCTTCTAAGAAGATTGCAGGTGCCAGGGAACTGTCTTTTGGAAAAAGTTTTAATGAAAAAATTTGGAAAGAGAAATGGAATGTGCCAAAGGCCATTTCCTTAGTACTCAGCTTTGTTTTTATTGTGAATCCAAAGTCTAAATCTTTTGAAAAGGAATCCAGAACTCTTGGTGGCCTTTTATTCCTGTCTACCAGCAAGACAGACCTCATTTTCATGATTCAGGGTTATTGTGGCATTAACCAACACCTTTCACTCTTATGGAGGCTTTTTACAAGTAGTGTTTTGCCTATCTAGTTATTTTGCCTATGTAGGCAATTCTCTTCTGGAATCCTTACTTTCCATTTCAGTTTCTCTGTATTTTAAAGTTATCGTCAACTGAAACATTATATAGAGTAAATATGCTGCAAAGACAACTCAGCAGCATGAAGAGTGTCACTCCACGATTAGCCTGCAGAAATAAGTTGGTAGATGATTAAAAGATTTTGTCAAGCTTTGAGAAATGCAGTTTGTACCTGTAACTCCTTAGCTGCATGTTGTAGTAACCCAGTATGTCAATTTTATACTGTGTTTTCTTCCTGTGGAGATTTAAAATATTCCATGATCTGAGGAATCAGAAAGCTTCCTGCACAATTTGGCTGATGGGAGTTAATTATAGAAACGCAGCACAATTCCAAAAATAATCAGATTAGGAGGCACAGTTGAACTGAGATTGAACAAATGAGGGACAACAGCCATCAAGTAATTGTATGTTTGGTTTTTAAGAATAGTTCCAAGTTTCTAAACATCTTGCAGGAGAGAAACTCATAATGTTTCCTTCTTCTGTCTTACATACTCCGTATAGAACTAGGTCATTGAACAATAGACTGAACAGCAATCAGCACTCTACTTCTGCATAATGCATTAAGTATAACATGGAGAAACTGTTCGTGGAGCTGAAAGCTGGTATTTCATGTCTGTAAATTCAAGCTGACATGACATTTAATATTGTTTCATAGTAATGAACAACAAGGTTTCATTCATTCACAAGTACAACATAATGCCAAGTTTAGTCGGAAGAGGTAACAACAAGGCAAGAGGGAAAACATGTTGAGTTCCTTCAAATGAGAACACTAAATTAATGATAACCATTGAACACTTAGCTACTGATACAGAGTACTACAGAGACTACCATTGTTATGTGAAGGAATATTGTACGGTCAGTTATAGGGTCTTGTCCTGTACTTCTTTGACTAAAGAATTGGGTTAACACACAAAGTGCCTCTTATTTTTCATTTTGCAGTCCTAGGTCCAGGTTACCTGTGCAGGTCTACAGCTTTCAAAGGTTTGTGTTTTTCTAGGAACAAGTGCTCTGTCCTTTTTTTTCTTTCCCAATTCCCACTGAGTTCCATTTAAATTCCTAGACAAAATAATAGTATCAATTCTGTCATCTACTATTCCTTCTTTGAAATACTTGTCTTTGAAAGCCTCTTGCATAAAATTGAGACTTGTGTTTTCTCAGGGGTATGAATGCAAACTTGGATCTCATGGTGTTGGGGAAAAAAGTGCTTTTTCTGTTAAATTAGCAGCATGCTTTAATAGGAACTCTTCTTTCAAGTGCTCATTTTTAGTCTGTCTCAAATGTCAATTGTTTTTTCCAGTTTAAGTCAGAAAGTTCAGTGGAAAGACAAAATGTGCAGCATGGATCAGCACTGCTTCCTGCCAAAAAGCTTTCTGTGGTTGCGAGTGACATCATTTATGTACTATGGAGATACACATTTAAATCTTATGTCCTGATCTGAAGAAGAGCTAAACATTCATAATTTCAGCTGAAAAGAAAGGGAGCTGCAGGTGCTCAAAGCCACTGAAAATTAAATGGTATATTCTAAATAGCACTTTTAATTAAACCTGTTCATTTAATTCTCTCAGTAAAAGGAAAAGGCAAGTATCAATGCATACCCTCAAGCAGAGAAGTAGAACTAAAAAACAGAGCATTAATAATAATTATTTTATTTTTCAGGAAAGAACACGATTTGAGAATTTAGGCCCACAATTAACAGGAAAACCCAATGAAGATGGAAAACTCGGCCCAGGAGTCATAGACCTTACAAGGCCAGAAGATGCAGAAGGTGAGTTGCCATTATGAATGCACCATGTCTAAACACTTTGGCATTAATTGCCACAATATGTCCTGGGTGGCAGTTACAGCTAAATCTTTAATGGGCATGGTACAGCTAATCCCTGGGTCCATCTTTAAAACATTTTGCCTGTTTTTGTCTGAGTAGCACATACATAATAAAGAACAGATACAGATAACAAAAGTGAGTAAGTGATAGTTTACAGTATCTGAGTCATCTTGAAATGCTATTAACCATCTTTCAGTAGCTTGCAATCAACTGTATCCAGCAGCTGACAATACAGTGTTTGCTTTTTGTATATCTTGGTAATCAGAGTGAATAATGAGAGTGTCAATAAAGTAATATATTACTAAGAAAATGTACCACTTTTGAAGACTATTTAGAAATAATTTAGCAGCTTGACACAAAGCAGGTGCTCTAAAATCTAGAGGGATATCCATCAAGGTAGTGACACGCTTTTCATGAAAACATAGCAAGTGTTGCTTTATTGACAGGTAGATTTCAAATGATAATGTAGAAATGTCCAACCCAGTAATGCCTTCCCACTAATTTTAGTGAGAGTTCCAGGTGTGCTGGAAGCACAGTAGCAAAACCCAGTAACAATTCAGTGCTTCTCAAGACATAAGTTAAACTCATCACTGTTACCTAGTGGTGCGACTGGATGCCTCACAGTAGATCAGAGAGCTAAAGTATGTTGTTGCCAAGAATCTATATACCAATCTTTGAATGAAGACAAATGTTTTATTTTCAAACTTTCTGCAAAATTTTTTGTACCAAGAAAATTATTTCTTGTTTGATAAGATTTGCTCACAACCCCTCCCCCCACCCCAGACAACTTCTTGTCATGACACTGATCTCCTTAAAGAGATGCCTCCAAGGGTATGGACAGATATATTTGGAGCCATTCCAAAATGGGAATGTTTCAAAAGGTCAGCAGCTGTTATGTTAAAATTGTTATGTGAGAACAAGCCAGGAACAAGACAAATGTAGCAAAGCTGCTTCAACTTTAACATTGCTTTATCCAGGGTTTAAGTTGGAGCAGTTTTGCTACATGTGTATTGTTCCCAGTTTGTCCACATAAAACAATGAGATCATAATAGCTGCTGCCATTTTGAAACAGCTCCAAATATAGGTGGTTCAATACCCTAAAATGCCTCACTTGTGTCCAAATCAGAAGCATCTGATTTGCTTGTTTGCCAGGTCCAAAAAAGCATAGCGACAATCAGAAGTTGCACCTGTCCACAAATAAGGGTCATTTAAAAATGTTTCTCATAATATGGATACAGTATGGCTAGTGGGAAAGGTTGCAGTATTTTGAAGTACATGGAAGTGCTCCTCTGGGCATAGTTTCCATTCTGTGTCCATTCTGCCTGCGTGTAGGTTCCATTCTGACTCCAGACAGAGTCTCAATAATTTCCAGTCCATTTTGAAGACTCACTGGCAAAAATAGCTCACATAATAAGTATGTCCTTCCTGCTGTTGCTCAAATGTACCACCGCTATATTTGCCTGAACTAAAACAGCCTGAAGAACTAGATGCTAGTCTAAAGTCCTGATTTTCATGGTGTGAAATGTTTTTGCTGCCCCACTGCCTTCCTTTTCGCACATGCTTACCTTTAAGCACACAATTAACTTATGTCCTGGAACTGAAGACTATGCTTAAAGGTAGGATGGGTGTGTGGTGCAGCTATTGTAACGGAAATGTGTACAGTGTAATTGCAGTGATGTGTTTTGGACTGTCAAGTGAGCCACCGCAACCATGAGACAGGTGGTACAGGTATTGTGGTATATCTATATCTATATATAGATATATATGACTATCTATCTATCTGCTTAAAAGTAGGTATGTGTTTGTGTGTTTCTGCTGAATAGAGTTGGACTTAAACACAGCTTTAAGTCCTTTACAAAATTAAGCGATTCGTTATGACCACTTATATCACCATGTAAGTATATTCTATATTTTCTCACATAAAAAAATGCACTTTACCCTCAAAATTAGCAACTGGAAATTGCAGTGCACATTATATGTGAGAAATGCAGGCTCTGTACACGCATTCAAATAATCTGGCAGAATTCTCCCAGGTTTCTCCCAGAAAAATTTACCCAGAGCTTCTCTCAGAAGAGCCAGGAAGACAGTGTATTGCTCACTGGACTCTGCTGCTCCAGCAGGCCACAGAACACAACCTCTTCACAATCCTCACATTATGCTGAAGGGAAACAGGCTGACCATAGGCAGACAGAGTCAGCCAATCAGGGCTGCCCTATGCTCTGCTGCCATTTGCCACCAAGCAGATTAAGGGAGCCTACAGAGCACCGTTGAGATGTGTGCACATGGGCCCCTCCTGGCTGCACAATATCAGCATTGAAAGCTTTCCACTCTTCAGGGCCTCAGCAGTTTAATGTCTGTATAGGCAACACTGTGAAATCATTTGCTCTCCCAGAAGAGCTTCGCCTCCCAGGAGAGTGATTAAATCCTGGTTGTTCCCAGATTATTTTGCTCCTGGACTGGCTGTTTTTTCTTCTGGAGTGGCTGGGAGAGTCACTGAAAGCAGTGACTCTTCCAGGAGAAAATGAATACCAGTATGAGGCCAAGACAGTTTCTGCAAGTTATGGGCAAAAATGAAAGTAAAATTATCATTGGCTCATACGGCACATCCAGACGAGCATGCACATGACTGTTGCGGCATCTCAGTTTGAGACTCTGCAAGAGGCATGGTAAGAATGAAAAAATGTTCCCCGCTCTGCATATTTGCACCGTGGACTCTAAATTTGATACCAGAAATCCTGGTATAAAAATAAAAAAACTGCTGAAGAAAAAGCAGCACAGGGCATGCTCCTGAAGCGTGCCCTGAAGCAACCGGAGGCTGGGTTCTCCAAGGAGATGCTCTGGCACCCAGGCAGAGCATCTCAGTGCCTGCCAGCTTCCATTGCTGTCTCAGCATGCTGCTTTAGCATACTGGAGCAAATAGGAGTGGGGCAAGGCTGCAGCAGTGACCCAGACCCAGGTGCCATCCCCAGTAAATAGGAACGGCGGGGGGAAGGGGGTTTATGTATGGAGGGACTGTGTGGGGGTGGGAGAAGACTGCCCAGGAGGAATGCCTGCCCCCAGCACAGCTCCTCCACAGCAGCAGCAGTGGCCGTTGGGCACTCAGGGCCCTCTGTTAGCAAAGCCCCCACATGGTTTGGCACGGCCCTAGCCATCTAAGACCCAGCACCACCTATGCCACATGTTGCAGGCCAAGCCTGGCTCAGCCCTGGGGCATGTGCCTTTGGGCAGGACTGAACTGCTTTTGCTGTCACTCGGGACCCCTGGTACCAGCTGTCACACATTTGGCTGGGCCGGGTCCTGCCTCCATTGAGCCAGCTCTGCCCAATGGCATATGGAGCACTTGGAGGCAGGACCTGGCCCAGCCGAGTGTGCAGCCCCTGCTTACAGTGCCAGGACCCGAGGTGACAGCAGGAGCGGCCCAGGTTTGCCCGAAGCTGCACGCCAAGTCAGGCTGGGCCCACAGCGTGGCACAGGTGGTGCTGGGTCTTGGGCAGCTGGGGCTGTGCTATGCCATGAGGGAGCTCTGCCAGCAGCTGGCCCTGAGCACCCAATGGCTGCTCTGCTGGCAGGGGGTGGGGGGCTGTGTGCCATGTGGAGGGCAGGTGGGGTACCTACACCTCTTAAGCAGTGTCCCCCACCCATAGACAGTCCCCCTCACACTCATAGTCTCCCCACAATCCACCCACAAACCCTACACCCCCAACCACCTCCACAAACCTCCCATTCACATATCCAGCCTCAAACCCCACACCCCTCCAACCCCTGCACAAGCCTCACCCCCATAAACCCTACACTTGCCCACAAACCCTCCCTATCCCCCTGTAGATCCCACAACCATCCCCCCATGCCCCCTCCCCCCAAAACCCCACATCCACCCCATAATTCTCACACCCTGCATGTCCAGCTGGCCAAGTGGGATGGGATGGGATGGGACCTACTGGCAGGGGCCACAACTGCAGGGGCAGCTGCCACACTGCAGTCCTGCCCCATGCCCACACCAGTTCTGGGACATGTGGCCCCAGCCTGGGGGAGGGCTCCTGGTCCCAGGAACCACTTGTGGGGTGTGATGGGGTGGTGGGAGGGGTGCAGGTGGCAACAAGGGTATTTGTGAGATAGAGGGAGATATGGGGGTCAGGGGTGGGGGAGCAATGTGGGTAGGAGAGGGCTCCAGAGCCAGGCTTAGAGCCCCCCTGCCCTCCTACAGCAGACTGTGTAGGGGGAGTCTGGCATGGAAGGTAAGTGGCTTACCCAGCCCAGTCCCTGCGCCCCAGGTGCTGGGATGGAGTTGCTGCTGGGAGGGAGCTAGCGGGGGGCAGGCAGGGGCTGTGGGTCAAGAGTGAGGGTCACTGGTGCGGGGCTGTGTGTTGAGAGTGAGGAGCAGGGGCAGGGCACTGGAATATTAGGGCACTAGAATATCAGCACCCCACATCTTGGTGAGTGAAGGGGGCAAGGGCAGCTCTTATTTTTCTATGATAAAAAAACCCAAAAGCAAACACCAAAGTGTATAGATATTTAGAATTAATTTATTATGATGATAGAGGCACTGGTAGGCTTCCATATTGCTTTAAAATTGTAAATATATCAATAAAACATTGCCCAACTGATCTCTTTATTTATATATAGTGGGTTTTTTGTTTTAATCATGGAAGAACATGGATTTTGGGTATTGTAATGAAAGAATTTGGGGTTTTTATCAGAAAATTTGCAATTTTTAAACAGGGAACACCAGAATTTCTGCTGGTGAAGCAAGTGGCAAGACCCAGACAGAGGACCGTGCACAGGGCCAGCACCAGAGACCCAGCTGGAGGGCAGACATGGTGGCTGACCTGGCCATTTTGGGCCAGTAGGACACACTTTGACAGTTAAAAGTGGGCCACCACAACAAGCACATCTTCTGGGTGATAGCTGCTCAGATGGCAGGGCAGGGGCACCAGAAGACGTGA